GGGGGGCATGCCATGTGTTGATGTCATTGATGTTGGTGTTTCCATCTAAGCTTTTTTTTTGGTATAATTTGTGGCTCTGCTCTGTAAATGATCTCATCTGTTGCTTTCATCGCCTCATCCAAACTGCAGCAACTCATACAAAACGGACTCAATTTGTGTGTTGTCTCCTTCTGTTTTCTTTTTTTCCGTTGTTTTTTTTTCAATTTTTTAAACGGGTTCAGCCCCTAACGTTATTGACATTTATTGTACCCATCAGGGTTCGAACTCATAACCTGACCCTCTACAACAGCTACATGTGTGTAGCATTCAGCCAGAACGACTGGGGTTGTCATGTCACCTCCGTATACTTCGTATGCATCAGGATTTGAAGTTTGAATTCATAACCTGATTTTCGACAGCTGCATGTGTCTCTGTGTGAGTGTATGTGTGTGTGTGTGTGTGTGTGTGTGTGTGTGTGTGTGTGTGTCCACATTGCCTGTACCTTCAACAACTCTGCACTGCAGCGCCATATCGCATCTGGATTCATGCGGGTCATCCTTGCGCGGGGGGCATGCTAATTAACCGTCTCTGCATCGTTCCACTTTTGACGATTGTCCCGGAGGTCGCCAGATCGAATCTCGGCGCGGCCCCGGTCCAGTTTCCTCCTTCCTCCTTCTTCAACGAGGAGCCCTGGGGATAGAGATGACGACAGCAATGGCTGCAGCTTCAGCTTCTCTGTCCACGGCGGGAGCGATGGCGGCGCAGATGAAAGCACAGGTGCACTCTCCTCAGATGCCACGTGGCGACCGCACAGCAGCAGGAACTGCAGTCCTTGGTCCCATCTTTGCCACGTGGAACGTGCCGGCTTCTCCCCCCTCCCCCTCCACTCGGCCGGCGTCTTCTTCTCCCCACCAGCTCACTGCTTTTGGGCTGTTTCCGGAGGCGACACGTGTAGCAGCGCCAAGGCGGCGTTCCTTGTCACTTCCATCCTCCTCCTCCTCCTCCTCCTCCTCCACCGCGTCCACGCAGGCGGACGTCGGCGCGACGACGACCGCCATTCAGTTCGTTCGTGGGGTGAATGAACGCACCGTCCCGGATGTGCGTCTGACGAGGTCCAGAGATGGGTCGACAGGAATGGCAACGTTCGTCTTCGACCAGCCCACGGTGTTTGACATGACAGGTGATTTGGGAGAGATCACCGGTCTCTTTCTGATCGACAGCGAGGGCACGCTCACCTCGACTGACGTGAGCGCGCGCTTCGTTAACGGCAAGCCGGCGGCAATTGAGGCTCGGTATCCTATGAAATCGAAACAAGATTGGAACAGATTTATGAGGTTCATGGAAAGATACGCGGAGGAGAACAACCTCGGATTCAAGAAATCATAGACACCAACTTTCACAACCTCTCTCTCTATTGGCTGCAGCGCTGCGGCCCTGATCCTCGTATACACGACGAGCTCGCGTGAGGAAGGAAGGAAGGAAGGAAGGAAGGAAGGAAGGAAGGAAGGAAGGAAGGGAGGGAGGGAAGGGAGGGAAGGAAGGCGTCAATGTCGAACGAGGTCGATGACGACGCAGAAGACTCTGCTGCCATAGCCACGTTGGCTTGTATGTTGCAGGCCAGAAAGAAAAAGGCTTCAATCTCAGGAGGGCGTGTGTGCAAAAGGGGAGCCTACTACTCTGGACTCTGGAGAAGAAACCGCTCACGGAAAAGAGACTCGACGAGCAGACAGATTGGACGGAGAGCAACGAAGTAATTTGGACAGGGGTATTGGCGTAATTTCGACAGGGGTATTGTGAAGGAGGGTAATCGCGAGCCTCAGACCAGGGGTGTTGGCGTAATTTGGACAGGGGTATTGGCGTAATTTGGACAGGGGTATTGGCGTAATTTGGACAGGAAAAGAAAGGGCAACTCAAATAGCGGGGTACGGAGACAGAAGGAAGGGAAGATAGTAATTTGGACAGGGGTATTGAGAAGGAGAAGGCATCAATCAACAGCTGATGATTGACCTGCAGGCTGCAGAATGCAACAGCGCACGGACGAAGACTGGGAGGGGAGGGAGAGTCGTGGCAGGCTTGTATCGGCAGGAACTTGGTCACTACAGTATGCATTTGAAGAGATAGAGAGAGAACACGGATTGGAAGACATGCGACGATGTTAGGAGGCCTATTTATTCATCAGATAAAAGAGGGGAGGGGGGGGGAGGAGGAAATAAAGCGTGATGGAGAGAAGGTTGCGCGCGCGGATTCGAACTGTGGTCAGCAATTAAGATGGGAGGGGAGTGTGTGTGATAGGGCAATCCAATAATGCAATGCCATCAAGCAGGAGATCATGAAGAAGATCATACAGAACGGCATCAAGATCAAGATGGCCAGAACGAAGACGATCAAGCAGGAGATCCTCTCCTCTCCTCTCCTGCTTGATGCCGTTCGAAGAGAGTTCATCAAGATGGCCTGAACGAAGACCAAGAAAAGGCGTTAGCACATTCGAAGAGAGTTCATCAAGATGGCCAGAACAAAGACCAAGATGATGTGATTGAAAGGAGTCGGTAGATACCGGATACGGTGTGATCAGAAGAGTCATCGTCATCTTGCCCGTACCAAGGCAAGAGTAAGAGTGATGTTCAAGGTCAACAGAGATGAATGAAGGCGGACATATTTCAAGAACAGAGAACAGCCGTGACGCTAATAACGGGAAGGGAGCTGGGTACATTCAAGAATCTGACCCGAAGATGGATGCAGATGCAGATGCAGAAGAGGTGGGGATGACTATTTAGTAGGCTAGGAGGCCCGGCGCGGTTGACTGTGTGTACTTTTTCTTTTTTTTTTTGGACTTTTGTACGACGCTCTTGGTGTTTTGTAAGTTCGGATTCGTGCATGGCTCTTGGTTTGAATTTCGAAAATTTCGAAAATTTCGAAAATTTCGAAAATTTCGAAAATTTGTCGAAAATTTTGAAAATTTCGAAAATTTCGGATTGGTGCAGGGCTCTCTTCACCAGATGGATGGCGCTTTGTAATTTTTCCCGTGATCGTTAACGATGGGTTGATGTATCTCATGTTTCGGTGGCGACTGTGGAATTGGTAAGATAAGGACGGATGTGCCACGTGGAAGAGGCTGAGAGGTAGAACTAGTAGCTGCTGATGATGACGTAGTGAACGCGGGACTGTATTGACTTCGACCGTGCAGGTTGGATTGGCTGATGATTGAAGGCTGACGGTCCGCGGCGGCCTTGCCGCTTTGACTTTCCAAGTGATCCATTCTTTTTTTTTCTCGCATGCTGACTGTGATGAAGCTGATGAGCGGAATGGCGAGAGGAACAGAGTTGGTGACGTGGAGACGAACCTTGCTGCTGGCAAGCTTTCTGTTCGAAGTCCTGTTGTGTACAATTGAAGGGAGAGTGGGAGTGGGGGAAAAGGCCGCAGTGCTGGTGGGGTTTTTTGACCCATACGGATCTGCCGGCGGTTTCTGTACAGTGGCAAATACTCCGTCAAACTACCGTCTTCACCCGAATAGAACGCCCGGTCATTATCGCTGCATATGGACCGAAAGTATGCAAGCAAGGAAGGCCGCACTGCGAAATAGTCAGGGGGGAAGAGGTGAGATTGGAAAATTCCGTGGTGTAGAGAGAGACAAGAGAGAGGGAGGGCGTAAGACACGCAGAGACACACACACACAGAGAGAGAGAGAGAGAGAGAGAGAGGGAGGGAGAGATTGTGAGAGAAAGAGAGTGGCACCACCACCACGTGGCTGGGGAGGGTTTACTCCCCATCTGGACACCTGGTACCCATGGAGAGTCTCCTATCTCGAATTTGTCAAGCAAACCTTATGTACGTATATTTACGTAAATACATATACAGATATATACAGATACAGCCAGAAAAAAAAAAAAAAAAAAAAAAAAAAAAAAGGAGAATTGGTTTCCTGTTGAAAGAAGATTGGGTGGGAGGCTAATCCTTCTCAGAAAAAAAGAAAAGAGGGAGTACTTTGCAGCAGACGGGGGCGGGGGGCAGGGGAGGGAGGGAATCATAGTCACTGAGGCAAATAATAGACATGACTTAGCCCCCACACGTTCACAGTTTTTCCTTCCTTGTCCATGTTATTCCTGTTCATCAACTTTCAGATCCAACAAACAAGTTATTGGTCTGGGCAATTGTTCTGATCCTCTCTTAATTCCCCCTTTCACTCCACCCCGCCAACACCGTCGGGGTTCAACCAAGCTCTAGCTATTCCCAGTTCCCCTTTCATGACGAGCTTAAGTCTTCGCAGCGAGTTCTTCACTACGAGTAACTTCTCTGTCTCCCTTCCCCCGTTCCCTGTAGCCCCTCACATGGCCCTCCCCCCCCCCCGCTCCTGTATGATGTTCTGTCCGACCTGTCTCACTCTTTTACCCTCCCTTTCCCCACCTCGTCTTCACTTCTCCTCCCTGCCCGCGTTAACTGACGTTAAAATGCAACTTGCTTCCTAGTCCCTCGCCGTCATTTCATCTCCTTGCCTCCTTGCCGTCATCTTCATTCAATCTCTTTGCCTCCTCCTCGCCATCTCCGGTGTCCTTTCCTTGCCTCCTAGAAACCATCTTCATTCAATCTCCTTCCCTCCTCGCCGCCATATCTCTTGTCTTTGCTTCCTCTCCTCCATTTTCGTTGTCATCTCCTTGCCTCATTCCCGTTGTCAAGCGCATCGGTCCCACGCAGGGCGGGACTCTCCCGGCCGCATCACACAGGAGTTGGTCTACCTCGTCGCGATACACATGGAGCTTCCGCAAGCCTCTCCGGCCAAGTGCGCCAGCCGTACCTCTCACGAGCCCCTACGACAGGATAGGGCGAACATGAGGTACAACTTACCTCCACCTGCGGGAGCTGTCACCTCCCTTCGTTGGGCGTATCCCCGCCGAGCTACCAGTCCACAATACGAAAGCTAATCAGTTGCAATCGCAGAGGTGGACCAACCGAGGGCGTTTTTGGTTCGCTGTAGCATAGGGGGTACGCGCAGTCTCACGCCTCTATCGGACCCGCACGCAATCCCACTCACCACGCGTTTCACCATACTTAAAACAGAAAAATAAAACACACACACACACGAAACGACATATAACAAACAACACAACAACACTCATAGTCCCTTTTGTAGCCATCCCACAACCTTTTGATGCGGAAATCGGTTAAGCGACGCGCACGAGACTTAGTATAAAAATCGCGCGGACGCAGGGCCTTCTCATATAGACTAGCAATGCAAATATACGTAAGCAGTCGCAATGATGGTGTACTTTGTAGTACCCATAGTCGCGCGGTCCTTGATGGTCTCGAGGGTTGTGTTCGACACTCAAGTGTCGGTTGACACGCGTCTCGAGGGTTTCGCTGGACAACTGTCAAGTGTGGTTGAGAACCATACCCTCTTCTGTATCATGTGGAGAGTGGGTGGTACACAGGTTCATACCTGCGGTGGCAATCGTCTCTAGAGGCCTTGGAGACAAACTTCATCATCCAGCGCCTGGAGAGAAATCAAGGGGTTTGACTTTGACAGCTGCCACGGACTTCAACGTCCGACTATAAAAATTAACAAGCAAAATCACTCGATAAATAAACAGGCGTCCAATACCCATATTAAATCAGAACTCGGGATAAGATAAAAAAAGAAAAAATAAACTCATTCGGTATTTAGATCGCGCGACACATAGTTGTCATTATCACTGCCTTCAAAGTAAGGCTCGAACACAGGCTCTAAAACATTAACCTGTATAAAATACAGACACAGATGAACGTCGCATTGCGATACACCAATATAGTCAACTTTATTGTTCTTTATAAATCACACCATGCTTTACATACCCAAGCCCCATCCATTGTCAAACATTCCATAAAATCTCATAAGTTCTTTATAATACTCATTAAAAGAAGTTCAGTGAAACATATCAAATCTCAGGGCTCAAACATCAAGTTGAGGTACAGTAATGAACAAAGTTGTGCCGTGAGCTGACAAGTCGGCGACCAACCAACCGATCAGTTATAAGTGATAACAAAAGATGATCCTCGTTGAATCAAGTTGAAACTAGTCAAATCTTGAATTTAATTAATCAACAATGGACCTCTGACACAAGGCAGACCAATTCCCAAAGCTTGACTATCAGACTATGGAGAATGAATCTCCATAACACATTCTCACTCAAGATTCTCGTGATAACCAAGCATAAGTCTACCTTTAAGTCTAAATCAAAAAAAAAATAGACCTATGGCAGAATGTCCCCTATACATGGTGGATCGTCAGAATCACCATCTATCATAATATAATCTTTCATTTAAACTAAGAAAACTTTGGCAGCGCTTCCCGTAGGAAAAGTGTCTTCTCAGAATTTATATCAGCCCAAATATGAAAGTTGAAATAATCGTTAACTCTATAAAATCTAATTTTGTCTAACTCACCGAATTAGTAGAAATTTGAGCAGCATATCCTTTAAATAAGTAGACATTTTAAATTTGTACTAACTCATATATGAACTCAAACATAAAACTTGAGTTTTATTAAAAAAATATTTAACTAACTTTTTATATTTATAAAAATTCGGCAGCGCTCCCCGTAGAGAAAGTAGTTTTTTAAAATTTATACAAAGCTAAGCACAAAACTCTAAAATTAATCACGACTTTCCAAAGTCAAATTTTGTCTAACTCCTTTAATTAGTAAAAAATTGGGCAACACTTCCCCTAGAAAATAAAGTTTTTCATATTTTTACTAAGTCAGATATGAACTTTAGACAAATTTGAACTTTGAAAATCGGATTTGACTAACTCATTGGATTTGTAGAAATTTCGACAGCGCTTCCCGTAAAGAAAGTAGCTTACCAAGATTTATACAAAGCAAAGTATAACAAATGATTCCAAAAAATGCGAGAATTTATCAAAGGAAAAAAAAGTTAGCTCAGAAAATGCAGAAATTGAACGAACTTTTATAGCTATAGCACGTTGCGAGCAACTAAAGCGACTATCTGTCAAAATTGAAACTCGGACTAAGTAGTAATCTCACCCAGCCACAAGCATGGTCAAACCACATAGGTAAGTACTCTCACAAATTCTCAAGTCAAATCCTCACAGATTAGTTCGTAAAACTCTCACATGATTTATCCCTTATACCCAACTTACATATGGCATGATGCTAGGTCATTCAACTTAGAAACAATGTCTAGCATGCCTTATGATATATTTGAACAGGTTGCACAACTACTTTTCTCTTCTTTGGGCATATGACTAGACCTTTTAGCTTAAAAACAATCTTTAGTCGCCCTGAACTATTTAATATCTAAAGTTTAATAATTTATGACTTTGTTTTATAAAAAAAATGAGAATATGGGTAGGGAACTAAGTCATTCAGTTTAGAAACAATCCTCAATTTGCCCAGATTACTTCCAATTATACTTTGTGGTTTTCCTTCTCTTCTTAGTGATATGGCTTAGCGCTGGACCATTCAGCTTAGAAACAATGTCCAACTGTCAGTTCACATGCAAATATAAATAAAGTATTTTATGTTATATTCAGTTTATACTTATGTGCGTGGGTTCAGGCTAAACCATTCAGCTCAGAAACAATGTTTAGCCCAACATTAAACTCAGAAACAATGTCTGACCTTTTAGGAAACAACCAAATATGCATAGCCCTGAGTCATTCAACTTAGAAACAATGCCCAATCCTTGGTTGACCTGGTCAAATGCATGCAAGTTGTCTTCCTTCCACCTTTCCCCATTTCATCCCTTAGTCTGCTTTCAGTCAAACTAAAGAAGAAACTTAAGCTTCACTCTCACACGTTTTTTCCATTCAGTCTAATTGAATTCTGAAAAGAAAGCAAAAGTCATAGAGGAACACATGCATAAAAAAGTCAAACTACAGGGAAATAGTCAATCAGGGAAGTAGTGGGTTCATACAGATAGAAGGTGGTAGACTTGTCAGTTCCCTGCCTCCAAGAGATTGCCTAGGTTCCGGAAGAGCTCCAACAATCGAAGGGCAGACTCCCCTCAAAGTTTTGATGTGGTCCTGCGGGTTCCAATCCCGCCTGCCGCCTTCCTCTCTGAGCAGGATTAAACCAAGAGTAAGAAGGGCAGAGTGAGGGATTTCAGACTCTCGAGATACAGGAGTAAGACCGATTCAACTCTTAGGAAAGGGTCTTGAAACCTTTCACAATGATGGTCAAAATGCACAGCACACTTGGTCAACTGTAGTCAGAGTGCCTGTTGCTGACCCCCTGACGACCTTACAGATGTGGTAGTATCTTCCCCCCTTTTTAATAAGTTCATCCCTGCACAAGCTCGTGATTCTTCTCCGGTTACCTCAGCCAGTAGGATAAGCAACACACCAGTCAATAAATAGTTTATTGTCTCACAGTTGAACTCACGCTATTTTGTCGTTTGTCGTTCGCCTGCAGTTAATCATCTGATAAAATAAGCAGCTTCAAAACACCAATACTCCCAAGTTGCGCCTTGCTGTCTGCGGGAATAACAATTCTTTTAGCACCCTCGCACTCCAAACTGCACCATGCTGCCGTAGAGAATCACAACTCAACGGAAGTAGCCGGCCACACTCTATCTTTAACTAAGTTGTAACAACTCAACCTGGAAAGGTTGCGCTTGGTTAGAGTCTACCATTCGTGCTTTATCCAAAGTGCAACAAGAGCTTGTAAAGTTTTCAGCTCACACAACCACGTGTATATGCAGCAGGTGCAGCGAACCCGTAACACCGCAATCCTTCAAACATAACTGCACAACCCATTACAGCAAGGCTCAACAGTATCTAACGGAAGGTTAGCCACTGTTGTTTTGTCGTAAGCAACAAAATACAGAACTAGCAACGAAACGCGGTAGTGACACCCCG